TTTCAGGCTGTAGAAGACATGAGAAGTTTCACTTTTCTCACAAAAAATGTTTGTGGTTTCCTTAAACAATTCTCCTCATCCAGATAGTATCTCTGACAACTTTCAGGAAACATGAGATGCTAACTACCCAAGCATAACTAAGAGAAGATTCACAAATGCTATGGGACAATTTTTTCCTGTCCTGGTTATGTCAATGTGTGGTATGTGCAAGTTCATCTTTGTGGGAAAGTTCACTATAGTAAGAAACATAAAAGGAAAAACTTAGGAAACTAGGAACTGAACCTCCTTATTCTACTATAACCTGACTTGCAAAAAGTCATTAAATTCAGCAGCCACAGTGTTTGCAAATGAAAGGAAAAAAACAGTGATGATTGGAGATCATTCATGTGTGAGTGACATGGTCAGAAAAAGTGTGACCTTGGTGATGTAACAAATACCTCCGGGGTGTGGATATGCAATTCTAGAGAGTTGGGATTCAGCTAGCAAGAGAAGCTCTGTTTCTATGTTGTGTCCTCAGAGCTTCTTTTTCCTCCACTCATAAGGATAGTTGGTGTCAGTTTCAGTCTTTTATTAGTCCCAGTCAAGCACGAATCTGGTATCTCACTGCAGGCAGTGTGGGAGAAGAGGACAGACAATAATGAAGAGGCAGGTTTAGAGTTTGGTGTGGGGATGGCATGAGTGTGAGATTCATTTCTGGTGTTAGACACATGATGGACTTTCACAGTATCATAAAGAACTTGTCTTAACTAGGCCATTGCCAAGTCCCTATATGTGATCTCTCCACCTCCTGAGCCTTTCTTCAAGGTAACTTCCTAGAGCTCATTTTGCTGAAGCCATGACTTCCATTCCAGGAACCCTTCATGGCTCAAGGCTCTTGAAAAAGACCTCTGACTGCTTCCCTGGCTGCATCTCATTCAGTCCCCAAAGCAATCTTGAGAAAACTCTTGGCTTCATCGTCTGTATTTTTGTTAACTGAACACCAGGGTTGAATGCTTAAGTAGTAAGAGCAGAGTTCAACTAATACTCTTCTTATATAACCTGATGCCTTCCAGGTTTATCTGATAACTACCATCTCTATCAAAACACCATTTCAGTTTGCAAGTATGCTGCTGTTAAACTCGACAGTGCTAGGAATCACCAGGTCTGCAGCAAGAACTGCCCTCTGGGAGCTTTGAGCTTGGGGTGGTGGGTATGTGACTTTGGGTTCAGATGGGGGACAGAGAGCATTCCAAATGCTTTAGCCATTGTAGTATTTTCCACAGTAACTCAAAACATCATTTCAATCCCCAGAATAAATGGAATATTAAATTGAACCTCTCAAATCTGCTTCACCAATATTGGAAACTCATTGAGACTATACTGGCATCCAATTTTATTTGGAAAGTAAATAAGATGAACATCTATGAGAACCCAAATAATAAAAATTTATATTCAGACAATAAACTTAATAGGTCCAAATTAATCCTGACTTTATATGAAAACATAAAAATGTTATTGCCAGAGTTTAATTGATAAGGAATTAAAGTACAAACAAGAATCCCCATAAATCATACAATATCAGGATCACTTTTGCTTAAAAATATGCCTATATTTGTCTTTTAAAAATTGATTCTAGCTCATAAGAGCTCTTTAAAATAGCCTTTATTGGGGCTGGAGAATAGCACAGCAGGTAGGGCATTTGCCGACCCTATCATGTGACCGAACCGAGTTCGATTCCCAGCATCCCATATGGTCCCCCAAGCACTGCCATGAGTATTTTCTGAGTGCATGTGCCAGTAGTAACCACTGTGCATCTCTGGGTGTGACTCAAAAAGCAAAAAACAAACAAAGAAAAAACCCTGTATCTTAGAGATTTGCGTTTAAGAAAGTAGTTCACAGTGGCCAGAATCTTGAAACAATCCTAGTGCCAAAGAGCAGATGACTGGTTAAAGAAACTTTGGTACATCTACACAATGGAATACTATGCAGCTATTACGAGAGATGAAGTCATGAAATTTTCTCATGAGTGAATATATATGGAGAATATCTTGCTAGGTGAAATGAGTAAGAATTACAGGGACAGACATAGAAGGACTGCACTCATTTGTGGAGTATAAAATAACAGAACATGATACTGACATCCAAAGATGGGAGACACAAGGGCCAGGAAGATTGCTCCATACATTGAAGCCTGTCTCATGAGCGGGGGAAGAAGGCAGCTGGAACAGAGAAGGGATTACTAAGAAAATAATGGTTGAAAGGATCGGTTGAGATGGGAGATGTGTTGAAAATAGATAAAGGACCAAAAGTCATGGCTTCTTAGCATCTGTGTTGCAAACAATAATGCCCAAAAGTAGAGAGAGAGTATGTGGGATGTTGTCTGCCATGGAGGCAGGGAGAGGGTGGGAAAGGGAGGGCATACTGGGGAGATTGGTGGTGGGGAACGTGCACTGGGGGAAGGATGGGGTTTGAGCATTGTATGATTGTAACTCAAACATGAAAGCTTGTAACTGTATCTCACATTGATTCAATAAAATAAAATTAAAAACAGAAAGTAGTTCAGTATAATATTCATACAATGTCAGAGAAAGTAGCTTAGCATAACGCTCAAATAATGTCAGTACTGACTCATTAACTCAACATTTATTTCTATATTTAATACTTTTCAATATTTCATAAGTTGTTGCATGCTACATAAACTTGAATATGCTCCTGAGATTTTCTATTTCCTTTTTTCTTTTATCATTATTATTTTATTTTTTATTGAATCAGTCTATTTTAGACCCTTACAAAGCTGTTCATGACTGGGTTTCAGTCATACAGTGTTCGATCACCCATGTCTCCACCAGTGTCTATTTTCCACCATCAATGTCCCCAGTTTCCCTCCCATTCCTTCTCCCATCCTCTTTCTATTGTAGGCAACTTCTTCTCTGTTTCTCTCTGTCTCGGTTTTGCTCTAACTTTTCTGATATTTAATTTTTGAACTTTCATTGTTTAAATGGTCAAAATTTGTAACCATTTATATATAATTATATAAACACTAATTTATAGCATTATATTAAATCATTCATGAAAGCCAATGTTTTACCACCAATTTTTATCCCTGGCTTTCCAATGCTGGTTATCATCACTAAAGTCCATGCTTCACGGTTTGAAAAATGCTACTGAAGAAATCCCAAGTAGTTTACAATTAGAATTTATTTTTAAAGAATGTATTCTTCCTTTTAAAGAAATTAGATTCATTATCTCTTTAAACAACTTTTCAAATTTAATAAATGCTTATAAATATAAATAAATGCTATTAGACATGGAAAATAGTTCAATTGGTGAAACATGTGTACAGTGTGTTCAAGGTCCCGAGTTTGATCCCTGGCACTTCATGCCCTACCCAGTGCATCACTGCCAGGTGTACACCCAGTGGTCAGGGCTTTGCAGGGCCTTAGTGTTCGTCACTGGGCCTGAGCATGGGACCTTTAGGTCTGGACCACTGGGTCGAGCAGAACTGGGAGTAGCCCCAGGTCCCCAGTGCTACAGGGTTTGGATCCTGTAAATAATTAAAACAAACAAATGTGGGGAGAGAGAGAGACAGGCAGACAGACAGAAAGACGGACAGAAAAAAACACCTGCCATAGAGGCAGGTAAGGGGTGAGAGTGGGAGGTGATGGAAAGGAACTTAGGGACACTGGTACACTGGTGGAGGAATGGGTGTTGGAATATGACTGAAACTCAATCATGAACAACTTTGTAAGGGTCTATCTCACAGTGAATCCATTAACATAAATAAATGAAATGAATGAAAGAGTATTATTATAAAGGACTTATTTTTTCATATGAAATATTTAATGAACACAAGAAACACTGATCTGCTCAGTCTATTCTAAACCTCTTGAAAATTTCTAAGCTTAATTAAAATTAGAGAACTCAGTCTTCAATAACAATGTTGCCATCTTTCCATGTAAATCTAAGTGGAATATTTGCATAACTCCTCTAGTACTCACCCAGTAGGATTTAAAAAAGAATCATTAATCCATTTCCACTTCTTCTCTGCTGATGAAAATGTTAATCCAATCCAAAAGTCCATTCCTGTCTCACTTACAATCGTTTGTATCTCATTCTAAATTAAATAAGAAATGTATATATATTGAATCTTTATATCTATTTATAGTTAGCATAAATATGCTTATTACCTAAAAACTCATTCAGACACCACTTCTCTATAAAGTCTTTCTAAATTCACCATCAGAATTATTTCTCCTTTGTGCTTTGTTTTCGTCCCCAACTCTGTGCCCTGTCTTCTTCATCCCACAGGTCAGTCTTTACTTGAACCCAGGCACTTGGATTTCCCTGCATCCACGCCTCAGGCATCCTCTAGGACCCTGGGACGCTCACCATCCCTGAGCCTCTTCCTGTTCATCCCCAATGCTGTGCCCAGGTCCTCTTCATCCCCCCCCACCAGTATACCTTTAGGGGGCGTGGCCTATTCAGAAGTGGGCGTGACCTCTGTGCCCTGATTTTGGGTCAGCGACTGCTCACCACTGCGGGTAGTTTACCCATACCCAGCAATCTCATGTAACATCTCGGTCTCCATACCTCCACACCAACATGAAGAAATAACGCAAATCCCCACCACGAGGGGAGGACGATGAAAAGAGTCCAGAAGCCTCAGGAGGTGCTACTCACCTAAAGCATTATTTCTCCTTTGTGAAATTTCTTTATCTTTCTGTATTTAAATGATTATATTCATAAAATAACACCATTATTTGCTTACTTCTCTTTTTAGAACCTTAGAGTGATAAATTCTTTACATCAAAGTTCCACTGTCTTTAACAGGGTCTAAAGGTGTTGATGTAGTTAGGAGTAAGAACTAATTCTAGGGGGCAGAACAATTGCACAGCAGAGATGGCATTTGCCTTGCATGCTGGATGTGACCCAAAATGCCAAAAAGAAAAAAAACCCCAAAAGCAAAAAATCCCAAGAACTAATTCTATTCTAGTCCTTCATTTTATTATTTACCAGTTCCTTCGCATCTTGAATAAGCAGTAATGTGGATTCCTTTCTGGAACAGTGGGCTTGACTGGTATTCCAAGAGTCTGATGTGGATGAAAAAGTCAAGCATTTCTGTCCTTGTCGTTTCCACGGTTCTGTGCAAGTTAACAGAGGGGGCCTCTCTTAAATTAGAGAAGAAATAAATACAGTAAGTATGGTTAGGGCACTTGCCTTGCATGCAACCCACCTGGCATGCAAAAGGTCCCATGAATCTGCGAAGAGTCATGCCTGAGTACAGAGTCAGGAGTAAGTCCCTAAGCATTGCTCAGTGTGACACTAAAGAAAACTAACAAACAAAGTAACGAAAGGCAATTCAGGAACTCCTATGTGCAAGGACTGAGCTCTCTCAGCAAGTTCTGTCTGCGGGACCTGGGCAGTCATTAGTGATACACCACAGTTAGTTTTCACCTCAGACATTTCTTATAAAACTCAAGATTTTATTATGATTTTTAGAGTTTTGAGATTTACTTTTAACTTGTATCAAAGTTATAAATTATTGGTCATTTATATAGAGTATAATTGAAACCGTAGGATATTAGAATAAGGAAGATGATCAGTAATGAGAGCAGCCATGACTTCCATTGAAGACGCTGATGGAGCAGAGTGTTGGATCTGGTGGGGGGAGTCAGACAGACCTCCTGCCGATTTTTCTTAAACTCACTCACACTCTTATGATGTGGGCATCTGTAGGAAAACCACTCAAAAAATGTTCAGTTAAAACATCCGCTGTAGCTGAGGCAGTGTGGTAATCCACCTCAGGGAGCAAGAAGGACTGGCTGGTGGCTAACCAGGAGCAACCCAGCAGAAGTTGGTGGTTTCAACTTCCTGACAGAGAGCCCGCTGCTAGGACAGGCTCAGTGAGGAGATCCCTGACACGGCTTCTCCTCTCTCCTCTTTAATCTCCAGAAATGTATGAACTTACATGCTGCCCCTCCGCTGGCTGCATAATTATGTGCTAATGATGCATACAACACATGAATAAGCATGTAGTCTTTATTACATTTGAAACTTTAGCCACACCCCTGTCATGCTTCTCCTGCTTACCTGCATTTGCATATTCTTCTCTTTAGCTCACTCCTTAAAACTCCTTGACCTCCCTCCCAAATCTGGTAACTCCCCCTTGAGTGCTTCCATCCCCACATCAGGTGTGTACTATCTCTTTTATAAATCTCTCTCCTATTACTTACACTGTCTTGTCCTTGAATTCTTTCTGCAACAAAGACAAAAAACTGAGACATAGTGGAACTGAGCCTACATCCACTTTTCCAGGTACCATTGTTTTTTGTTTTATTTTAGTTTGTGGATATACATGGCAATGCTCAAGGGTCACTTCTAGCTTCAAACTTGGGAACTATGGTTGTTAACCTGACTCATGATCTGGGGGAGAAGGCAGCTGGAATAGAGAAGGGATCACTAAGTCAATGATGGTTGGAGAGATTGCTCTGGATGAGACATGTGTGCGGGAAAGTCAGTATCTGTATTGTAAACCATAATGCCCAAAGTAAAGAGAAAGCATAGGGTAAATTGTCTGCCATAGAGGCAGGGGTGGGGTGGGATGTGTGTGTGTTTGGGATACTGGGAACATTTGTAGTGGAAAATGTGCACTGGTGGATTAATGGGTGTTGATCATTGTATAACTAAAACTCAAACATGCAATCTTTGTAACTGTATCTCATGGTGATTCAATTAAAAAATAAATATACAAAATATAAAGAGGCAATAAAAAAAACTTGGGAATTATTCTTGGTTCTGGTTTGAAGACCATATGTAGTGCCTTGGACTGAACTTGGTTGGCCTCGTGCAAGGCAAGCGCCCTACCTGCCGTACAGTCTCTCCAGCGCTGAAGGTACCACCACCCTTCAGTCCATCGGGAAACTTAGATTGCAACTTTACCTCCTCACTAAATCTTTCCTCCAAGAACATAAGAAACCTGTTTCTTCCAGCACAGGCAACATCATTTTCTAGATACAGGAGAGTTTGACTCATTCATTCTAAGACATTGTTAGAGTTCTCCTGCATTCATGGAGACAGGACTAACACACAGACTGAGCAAATCAATTGTGATAAGGTTGTCCTTGTGGCTGATGTAGTTAACTGCTAAGAGAACTTTCCACTCCAAGCAGGAACTTAGTGGCTCCTTCCTTGTTTTCCTTGAGGTTCAGAGATGAGTTGGTACCCATCCAGGACTGCCTCTACATCTATGAACAAACTGAGTCAGCTCTCTGCTAACACATCACATTCAGAATGAAAAACAACCCAACCATGGATGACTTTGTAATTTTATGACTAAACTGAAAAATTAAACTGAACGAAAAAATTAAAGTAAATTAAAAATAACTTGGTACTAAAAAATAAAATGACCTTATTAACTGTTATAAAAAAACAAAGTGAAAAACTAAAACATTTCATTTTCCTGGAGCAATAGCACAGTGGTAGGGTGTTTGCCTTGCGCGCAGCCAGCCCAGTGAATCTGGTTCGATTCCTCCGCCCCTCTCGGAGAGCCCGGCAAGCTACCAAGAGTATCTCGCCCATATGTCAAACACAGTAACAACAAGTCTCTAGCAAAATTAATGACATATACCATGAGGAAAAAATCATAAATACTCAAATTGTCATATTATATCATATATATTTTATGCGATCCATTGGGCAAGAACAATCTTTATTTTTTGTGATTTTTGGTTTTATGCATGTATATATATATACATATGCATGCATATATATGTGCATACCTTTTTTATCAGTGTGTGTCTGTGTGAGATATGTGTGTATCCGTGTGTATCTGTGTGAGAGATATGTGTGTATCAGTGTGTGTCTGTGTGTGAGATGTGTGTGTATCAGTGTCTATATATGAGATATGTATATCAACGTGTGTCTGTGTGTGAAATAATGTGTTTGTATCATTGTGTGTCAGTGTGTGAGATGTGTGTGAATGTGTAGCATTCCCTGAAGAATTTTCTAGGTTTTTTAAAATTTTTCCTCAGTAGAAATTGTGCAACCTTCTCTCCTGGAAGGGAGCAACATGACACTCTTCATAATCATGCCACCAGACCTCATGCCAGGCTGTTTCACTCAGGGGGTCCTGGAGTGGGGCTGGTAAGACCCCTCCCCACCCAAGAGACCAAGAACTGGCAGCTGAAAACTTCTACAACTCAGCCACTGCCACACTACGGCCGCTCTCCACATGCTTGGGCTGAGCCTCACACAAAAGTGCATTCATTCCTGAACCGCATGGCCTCAAATGCACCCATGTGTACTTCAAACCAAATACACTACCCATATTCCAGGATTACTGCAACCATATTTTGCAGGGGTCAAAATAGGAGACAACCAATCTTAGAGAAAAATATACATTTTTTTTACACACACATATATAAAAAAACCCACAAGTCTCAACCTTTAACAACATGTTAGTGATCTCTTATAGAAGGGCTTAGTGGCCCCTGGGTGAAATACAACAAGCCTCACACTCTTTCCTCGAAGGATACTTTTTTCTAGCATTCTCAGAAAATTTTCATAATAAACAATACAAAATATATTATTTCGGTTCTGCTTTGGGGCAGGGTGTGGGATGGAAACATCGAAAACATGGCGGTGGGAATGTGTAGTGGTGGTGGAATTGGTGTGTGAATATTAAATTTAATCATATATTGTGAACTACTTTATAAAATAAAATAATTAAAAAATAAACAATTTTTCCACAGTGATAATGAGCACACAAGTGATACATTCTCTTAGAGTCATTCAACATAGTGTCTATACAAACAGACACTGCTTGCTGGGACAAGATTAATGTCTCAACAGTGTGCAATCTTACTCCAGAATTAATTTTGTTTGTGTTCTATTCATTAATCCAGACAATTTTAAGTATTTTATTATGTATATTAAAATCATCAAGTATCTTACTATAACCAAATTTACTTTTCAACTTGATTCTTGACTCTTAGTTATTGAATATGCTGGCAGCTGCTTCTCATGAGAAACCAAAACCTGTTGGATCACAGGCTCTATGAGTTCTAGGAGCCAGTTCAGGAGCCAGGGGTACGTATACAAGGCCCTGATCAGCATCTGGAATCACATGTTCGCTGAACACCAGAGGGTATGGTCCAGGAGATCTCTATGTACCTACAGATGGGATGATCCGTGTCCCTCATGGCCAGGCCTTAACACTGTATCATCCAACCAACTCTATTGGCCAAGTTTTCCTAAATCTTGCCCTCAAGCTCTCTAAGCACTACTTGGAAGTGTCCCCTCCACCCAACAACACCCTTTTGACCAAAAATATCATAGACTCTGGAGTCACACAGCTTATGTACAATTCACAGTGTCACTACTGCCATTTATAGAACCCCACAAAATCTCATACAAGCTTTGCATGTCCCACTTTTGTCAAACAGAAAATCACAGATTTGGAACCATCTTAACTATGCACTGTTATGACCCTAAATTAAAGAAGTGCATGATATTCACCAAGTGCCAATTTCTCCTTTTAAGAAACACAAGTCACAGAATTACCTGTTGTGTTCTTCCTACTCTCTGGAACATGTTTTTCTGTTGATGATTTTTGTCTTAACATGACTAAGAAACAAGGAAAAGTTATTATGATTAAATATTTCAATGCTGGGTGAAATAAATATGTTTATCAATTTCAGAAAATAAGTGATCTTTAGCTTGAATTTGAACAATAGATTATAGTGATAGCACTGTAGTTAAGAAGATCTCGTTAAAAGATGGCATAGAGGAACAAGAAAAATTCATGGGGCCAATGAAATCATGCAAACCTAGAATTCTTCATGTTTCATGTCTTCTGCTTAATAAAAGAATTTTGAATCATCAGTTACACTTTTAAATTGCTCATAGTAGTTTACCATGTGAGACTATATATATAATATATATAACTATATATATATAATGCCTATCCCACCTGTAGGAGAGATTTCTTGGTGCAGTTTGGAACTGAAAATATTTTTAAAAAATGGAACTGTTTTGTTTTCTGGGTTTTTGTTCTGCTTTTCTTGTAGGATGGGGGTGGGGTTGGGGGAACATACCTTGTGGTGCCTAGGGTTACTCCTGGTTCTGCATGCAGACATCACTCTTAAAGGGCTGTGAGGACCTTTCGTGGTATTAGGAATCAATCTCGAGTTGGCTTTGTTCAAGTCAAGCACCCTGACTGCCCTACTATCACCCTAGTGATTTTTTATATTCTTGGAATACATGTAAATGATAGAGAACATTAGAACAATCAGGAAGAAAGAGGAAAGATTGAAGTTTGTAATCTGTTAGGCTCTCAGTGTCACTAAATAATCGTCCTCTAGTTTTATCTCATTGATCTTTAAGTTTAGGTGACCAAATTATATTTTGATACTCTAATATTTGTGACAGTGGTAGAGTAAATATTCTTTTAAAAAAGAGGATCTTGAATCACTTACCTGAAACACTAAACCCTATTGCAGACAGGATAATAATAATAATAACCAAAACACAGACAAATTTTAGTGGAAATTGGTGCTTGCACAAACCTTGGCAGATATCTGAGAAGCAAAAAAAAGTCATAGGTTAATGTCATATTTGTGTTCATCTGGTTCAAAAAGAGGATTGTTTGGATCAAAATAAACAACTGGTCACAGTCTACAACATTTATCAGTCTTCTTTTGCATCTCACGAGATGATTCTTAGATCTAGTTGAAAACTTTCTCATTGATTGAATCAAATACCTATGGTTTTTATGCGTGAACAATTGCGCCAAGAATCAAAAACATAGAAAGAAGGTATTTTTGAGTTGTACACAAAAATGAAGCACATAAATTATTGTAGAAAATAAGTCAAAGAAAATTCTCTAAAAAATAAAGGCCTTTAGAAGCCGAAAAGACAGTACAGGGATTAAGGCACTTGCCTAGCTCCTCTTCCTTGGTTCTGTCCCTAGCACAAACTTTTGGTTTTCTCGGAAGTTATATAGCAAACAGTATAACCATATTCTTAAGAGAGTATATTAATGAAAATAATATTATTAATGAAATTAACTTATATAATAGAATAAGTATACTAATGAAAATAAATGAATCACATTTATGCTCATTTTACCAATTTATCAACCAATTTATTGATTCTTTGCTTCTAGATATCTTTCAAAACCTGAATTTCATAGAAGAAATAAAAAAAACAGAAGCTACTGATAAAAGTCTTGAATAACATTGGACCACAACTTCCAAAGATATATTAACTCTGATGGGAATTATTCTGATAAAGTATACTTCCATTTTTCTACTTAAAGTTGTGTGCGAATAGTTTCTATACCTCTCATATAATACTAATGCCCCCTGTGTTACTATTTGGTTTATAACATGTCGTATCTATTATAATTATAATTTTTAGCTTTTATTATTTTCAAAGGTGTTTGTAAGCAAAAGTTTTCTAAAATAAGGTCACTTATACATAACAATATGGTTTATCAATAGAAGCAAAGTTTACTTTCAACAGTGGTATCAATACAGAAAAATCTGAAAAGTGTGAGCTTTTTTGCACATTGTATCTAGAGGCATTTATGCTAGACTTTTTTAATATTAATGTAATATTGCTGATCATCTTTATTTTTAGTTATTGTTTTTGGGCCATACCACATCCAGCTGTGGTCAGGGCTTACTACTTGCTCTTTGCTCAGCAATTACTCCTGGTGAACTTGGGGGAACCATGTGGGATGCTGGAGATCAAACCCTGGTAGGCCGCGTGCAAAGGCAGAGCCCTACCTACTATAGTATTGCTCCAGCCCATGTTGCTCACCTGTGAAACAATGGTTTAAGTTCATAAATTTAGGAACAAACCTAACTCTGAGAGATGTACTAAGAGCAAAGAAAAATTAAAGCACTTACTCTGAGGAGGAGGAGATGGAGATGAAATTTCAAGGCCAGAATTCCTGCGTAGATTTAAGTCAGCATATATCACCTGGTCCATAGGAAACAGAAAAACATAGCACTAAACTTGCTTACAAGGACACACTCCAGTTGTCTGACTCAAGATCAGTAAAGGAAGTGCCCAGTCTAAAACTCTTTGTTCTCACTTGATATCCCCTCCCACCCGAACATTATCTCTGTGTTTTGTCCATAAATTAATGATGTAGTCCTCTTGGGTGTCCATTATGTCTGGGCACCACTTAATGAGCTGGTGTGTTTTTCGACAAAATTCTGGTGGGGCTTATTTGTTGTTTGTTTATCTAACCATCACTTTGAGTTCCTTTCTTGAGGTCAGGACAAGGCAAAAAGAAACGTTCATCGAGAGTGCCGATTTATTGGGTTTCTCAAAATGCAGAAGCCAAGACACAGAATACTTAATAAATGAATGGATTTATTTGATCACCTTTTTACTGAGAGGTCGTTTTAGAAAAAAATAGTAGGAATCAGTATTACACTTCATGTTTATATTCAGGGAAATTATATGCCCATATAATATATATTAACATTTTCAGAGGTGAAGGCAAGAGAAAGAACACAACAGATTAGTCACTTGCCTTGTGTGCCACTAACCTGGGTTTAATCCCTGACTGAATAATGTCACTTAGTGCCTTCAGAAGTGATACCTGAATATAGAGCCCCAAATAAGCCCAGAGCAAAGTCAGGTATAGCAAAAAACCAGAACATTTTATTTTGACATTAAATTATCTGGCTTAATGTGTTCAGATAAATAGGTAAGTACAAGTTGCTTTTGAATGCAAAGAACAATCACAGCCAAGAGATGACTAGTATATGGAGAGGCCACATTTGACCATAACTCATTGCTGATCTTATGAGATTATATTTTTCAAAAAGTGGATTGAGACAATTATGTGAGTCTTTTTTTAAAGAAAATGTAACACATGAGGTAATGGTTATGCAGTTACAAAAGGTGGGACAGAGATAAGAAAATCATTTTAAGGGCCGGAGCAATAGTACAGTGGGTAGGGCTTTTGTCTTGCCTGTGACCAACCCAGGTTTGATCCCTTGCATCCCATATGATCACCTGAGCACCGTCTGGAGTAATTCCTGAGTGTAGAGTCAGGAGTAATTTCCGAGCATCACTTGGTGTGGTCCAAAAAAGTCATTTTGCACAAGATAAAAATGTAAGAAGCATGAGAACCAGAGAGTCCTCTGGGCTTAAAATAGAAGAGAAAAGGTGAAATTAGCAAGGTAACAACAGATAGTCTAGGAAATGGCCTGTCCTCCTTCTTCCACAGTGACACTGGTTGACAGCGACATCTGAAAAAACTGAAAAAAATATACTGCCCAGCAAGAAGCAATGATCCCTGGGCAATTGTGAAAGGAAGAGAGGATTCGAACACAGGGCAAGATAATCCTGGCATTGAGTTCAGCCATTATCGCCTTTCTCACTCGTGGGTGCCTCTCTGTCCCACACATTTCAGAGAGAAAAATCCTGGAAAGCAAGAGTTCTTCTTTAAAATAGAAAGAAAGGAAGTGGTGGTGTGTGCATCATGGTAGAATGTTTGAGTCTTCTTGAGGAGCTGGTTAGTTTCCATCTTGCTTAATCAGGACCAGATTTTCCAGCCCAAATCTGGAAACCACTGAAAACTGAGCTGAGTAGCACACAGTGCTGCAGTTCTTTAGGTAGACATGGAAGGAGCCAAAGATAAGCGAGCTTTGAGAAGCTCTAAAATCTCCTGCCATGTCAACACAGGATGCAATATCAACACACAGGAACCAGTTTTTTCACTGCATTATACTAATATCCAATCTGTAAAGACATAAAAATGATTCACCTACAATAATTAGATGATAAAGAATAAAGTGCTCAAGAATGTACTTAACAGCGATGACTTACAAGCCATAAACTTTGCTGAAACTCAAGAAGACAAAGTTAATGAAGAGACATCAAGATTCATTTACTGAGTCTTGGTATTATTCCCAGAATTATATCCAGGTTGATGTTCAGACTCAATGCCATCTTCAAAACTTCAAGGGCATTTTTTATTCAGGAATAGAAAAAAATGTCATCTGAAAATTCACATGGAATCATGGAGAACCTCAAATGACAAAAGCAATTTTGAAAAAGAAAACAAAAAAATTTCATACTTCCTAATTGTATCATTTTTAATTGGATCACTATGAATCGCAAAGTTCTGAAGATATTTATGATTGTTTCAGGCATACAATGTTCTAACACCATTCCCTTCTCCGTTACCCACTACCCTCCACCACTTTTCCTCTGTAGCAGGCATTTTCTCCTACCCACTTTGTCCTAATGTTCTTTTTATTAACTTATACCCCTTACCCATCCCAAACCAGTGGCAAGTGTCCTAATGAAGAACAGATCTCCTGCTCTTCATTTGTATTGCCACTAGGCATTTGATATTCCCCTGTGAATTTTCTTTATATCCCACTATGAGAGAGATCATTCTGAGTCTGTTCATGTTCCTCTGACTGATTTCACTCAACATGATACACTCCACATAACAGCAAATTGCACGATTCCATCTTTTCTTAAGACCAAGTAGTATTTCATTGTGTATACGTACCATAGCTTCTTTATCCAGTCATCTGTTCTTGGACATTTGGGTCGCTTACCTATTTTGAATATTGTGAATAGTGCTGCAGTGAACATAAGAGTGCAGATGTCTTCTCTACATTGTACTTTTGGGCCCTGAAGATAAATTCCCAGGAGTTACTGAGTCATATGGAAGCACAATACCTACATTTTTTGGAGGAAAGTCAGTATTGTTTTCTAAAAAGGCTGGACCAATTGACATTCCCACAATTCTCTCAGCAGTGACTGAGAGAATCCCTTTTGCCCCACATCCTCGCCAACACTGGTTGGTATGCTTTTAGATGAGAGTCAGTTTTTCTTCTGTGGGGTAGTGTTTTGATAGTGTTTTATGTTTTTTGATAGTGATATAGAGCTTTTTTTTTCAAGACTTTTGGCCATTTGCATTTCTTCATTGACAATGTTTCTGTTCATCTCTTCTCCCATTTATTGATGGGCTAGGATTTTCTTTTCTTTTTCTTTTTTTTTTGATACAGTTCTACAAATGTTTCATACAGCTTAGATTTTAACCCTTTATCAGATGGTAAATTTCAGCGGGCAAATTTTTCTTCCCAGTCTGTGGTTGTCTTTGTATTTTGGTCATTGCTTCTTTTGAGGTACAGAATCTTAATTTAATGTAACTGCATTTATTTATTATTGCTTCTGTTTGAAAACCAAACCAGAAGGTCAGAGCCATAGTACAGTGATTTGGGAATGTGCTTCACTTACAGCCAATCAGAGTTCAATCCCTGGCACCACATATGGTCCCCTGAGTCCCTCCAGGTGTGATCCCTGGGCACAGAGCTAAGAGATATCCCTGACCACCACTGGGGAGGGGGCATCAAAAAGACAAACTTAAACAATAACCTTATTAGGGTGTTGGGTGTGATTCAGAGAAATAAGATCCTAGTTATTGAAGAACTCCTTTTTGACAATTTCTACTATCTTCTATTCTCTTTACTTTTTAGCTACAGTACTTAAGTATCCAATTCAGTGCTAGTCTCTCAGTATCTTAGACTTTCATAAA